GGAAAGGAGCCAGACTTATCCTATACATGAACAGAACACATCTTAGTAAGATTTGAGGGAAGTGAAACATTTAAAAGCTTAGAATAAAATTCAAACTGATACATTAAAACTTCTCAGCTCAGCCAAAGGCACTAGGTGAGTTTGCGGAAAGCTCTTTCCTTTTCTGAACTCAATTTCTCACTTATGTAACAATAATCCTAATGTGGCAAAAAAAAAAAAAAACCATCAGGTTGTTTGCTGGTGGCTCACACCTGTAATCCTAGCTACTCAGGAGGCTGAGATCTGAGGATCGCAGTTCAAAGCCAGCCCCGGCAGGAAAGTCCTTGAAACTCTTATCTCCAATAAACCACCAGAAAACTGGAAGTGGCTCAAGTGGTAGAGCGCTAGCCTTGAGCTGAAGAGCTAAGGGACAGCACCCCAGGCCCAGAGTTCAAGCCCCACAAACCAGCCAAAAAATAAAAAAAATAAAAAAATAAAACATACCCACACCTCAACCTTGAGATGGAAATATGATCATAAAAAGGCCTGGAATCCTATTAAGATTCAAAAGTACAAATTTAAATAGCTGTTTAAAACATCTACATAATCACATTTTCTGTGTTGAAAGAAATTTCTCTATAATGATAGCAAGATACAGTAAAAAAAAAACCCTGCAAAACTATTTCTATATCCATAACAGGTATGCCATTTTTTTTAAAACCACAAAAGCATTCCTGAAAAACTGTGTAAATCAGATCCTGTTTTAAATGCCTTAAGGGAGCTATTTAGCAGGAACCCAGCAGTGAATCCTTTGGTAAGGCAAATAATCCTTTTGTAATAGGAATAATTTCTCCCAATGTATCTAGTTTTTTTAAAATCCCATTTTCATATATCTGCTTTTCTTCAAAGGGGGCCATACCTATCTAAATACGACTGCATTTGCATATTGATTTTAACAGCAATCTTCTCAAGGATGTTTAACCCTAAAGTTCCTTGTAATAGTGTTACTGTTCATCATTACGGTAAACCTGTTTCTATCTCAGACAAGCAACACTGGCTCTTTTCAGTTGATAATATCATGAAGATGGATATAAGAGATGGAAAACACGCAGCCCAGATAGTAATCCCTGGATCCCTACACTTAAGAACAATCTTTTTCCTGTCATTCTGGCTGCTCAAGAGAAGACCTGTGAGGAAAGGTATTCATGAAGAATTTAACAGATGTGTATCCTCATCAGTGGCCACAATACTCCATTGTCACCATCACACCCTGGCCAAAAGACATGGTAGGTTCAATTGAGGGTACTCACCTGGGGCTGCCAAAGCTTGTTTCTTCATAAGGGCACAGCCAAGGAGTTGCCCAGCTGTCTTGGAATGGGCCATTAAGTAGACCAAAGTTTTCCTATGTGACTATTTGCCTAGGTGCTCTTCATATTACAGAGTAACAGTGGGGAACTTATAGTTACTTCACATTTGGGCCAGACGCTTCTGAACATAAGAGGAGGGTAAAGATCCAGAAAAGGACCTGGGGCATAGCACTACAGAGGTCTAATTAACATGGAAGTCCAGCTCCACTGCCACTTTCTCTGCTCTGATTGTGAGAAGCATCAGAGATGATAGTGAGACACAAAAAATCCTTTGAGGGCTAGGACTCTATTTTCAGAGTAGGAATTTATTTTCCTTAAGGCAACCAAAGTAGTAATCTTCCCTGCAATGATTTTACCAAACCCTGGTTCTGAGAATCCAGGGCCAAAACAGGTTCAGGAATGCAAGATTCTGGTAAGTCAACCAAAATCTGCTTTTCATTTTGAGGCGATTCTTTTCTACATCTCAATCAGAACTCAATGTATACACTATTTTCATTCTCTGTTACAGCTGCAGACCAGCAAAGTAATTCACCACCATCTCCAAACTAGATGTATAAAATGATCAAAGGTCATTTGTTAAATATGTGACTATTTTCAATTTCTAGCACCAAAAAATTATGTATGAGTATATATGTATACATACACACACATATATTTATATATATATATACACATAATTTTACATAATTCTGAAAGAGATGAAGCTAGCTGTTCAGAAATCAAATGTGACTCATTATCCTTGGAGAATACATCATAATTTTGAACACAATCAGTTGTGCACTGGCTCATCTTGAGTATCTGTGAATGCTTCCTGGTACTCAGGCTGATTTGGGAAGAGATCAGGAATACAAGATAACATCCACTCCTATAGGCCTTCTAAATCAGATTTTCTCAGTGCAATTGGCTTTAGCTCACAAAGGGGAAAGAATCCCTGTTTAATTTAGATCAGGCTCAGTATTCAGCTGAGATATAATCTTAGGAAATCTTGAGAAAAGTAGAATACAGAGATCAAGAATTCTATTTTGGGCTCTTATGTACATTTATTTTTATCTTGGAAGATATGTTTAGCCCCATCTACTTTTTGTTTCAACTTCTCAATTTGGAAACATGGTCCTTTTCAACAATTTGTGAAAAAGCACTCTGGTAGTCTTTGTAGGCATTATAAGAAAAGTCAAGAACCATTGTGATCTCATAAAGAGCAAGGTTCACACCCAGGTTGATCTGCTGTGTTGTATCATAGATATCACAATGTGGAAGATGGAAGATTGCAAATGCCCCAGAGACAGGGCTACTTCTGTTTCCTTTGTACTCCCAAATGTGGAACTGAGCCACAGAAAACTTTCAATGCTAAACATGTCCATCTGCTTTTTCTAATGATTATGACTGTAAAGAAATGATGCCAGTCTCCATGCTTGAGAAATGCATGGCAGATTCTAATTAAATACACATTCATCTGATCCTCACACTAACTGGATGAGAGTGTTATTCCTCTCTTTACTTATGTTTAGAGAAGTTAAACAATTTACTTATAAGTAATATATCCAAGACTCATACATAATTTCCTAATCCACTGCTCATGTTCCCAGGGTTCCCTGGGCCAGAGCCTACTTCACATTTAGCAGACTACTGATTCTTTTTTGAGTGCCATTTTGGTCAAGGTTAAATAAATATGATTTTCTTCAGTGAGGAAAGGAAATTGATAATGAGATGATTTGTAACAAATGATTAAATGCCATCACTTGGGAATCTCCTCCCTCTCCCCTGCGTATACTTCTAAAGTTAAAGGTGCGGGTGAAGGTGGAAGCAAAACCACTTTCCATGGAGAGAAGGGAGCTTTGGCCCCACACAACTCTCTTCCCGGAGTCCTCCAACCAATGTGGAGAGGATCCCTCTTTCTACCACCCAGTTACTCTGAAGGGATGATAGCAGCCATTGGGGGGTTAAAAAGAGGCAGTGAACCCCCAGTTAATGAGTAGGAATTCAGCAGGCAGTGTAAGATAAATGGAGCTCTCTCTGCTTCTGCTAGAGTCAGCATGAACTGCGGCCCCGCGGCTTGTTTGTGGCAAATGGAGTGCGCGAAATATCAAAGGGCAGTGATCCAGAAGAAGACCGACTTTGACAAATTTTAAATTGGCCAGAAAGAAAACCAGAAAAAAGGTGGGGGGGGGGGGAAAGGGGGCGGTAGCAAGAAAGAAAAAAAAAGGAAGGAAATTTGGCAATTCTCTGTCTGGCAATTGTGGCACTGCTGCCTTCCTACAGAATTTAGTGGTTAAAAACAGCAGCAATGACCGCTGGATGCTGGGAGCAATTATGAGCCATCTAAGTGAGATGCTTATCAGTGGCTGAAGCTTTTAGAGCTTTCTCTATGTACAGTTCTAAGTAACTTGCTGTTGAGCTGCAGTTGCTTTAATTAAAGTGTATAGGGTTGGTCAAAAGTAATTATCCTGTTTGGAAAAGAGAGAGAAAAAAAACCACCTCAACAATTCTGGGTGGCAATAGATTTTAGAAACAACTTTGCCAATTTCTTTTTGTACGTGTGTATTTCCCATAAAACGATCAGGCTGTGGTAGGCTAGAGTTATTGGTAGCTGTTACCTAATAGCAAACAATGGGACACAAACAGGGTTTATTGTAACCCAAGTCATTGTGTTCAACAAGCAACCTAACTTAGAGATCCAAGGGCCTGGAGGTGTCATCTCCACACACATACTCAGTAGTTTTTTTCCCAATTCTAGATGGGGAGGATTCTAGATTCCACAAATGGCATTTTATTAATTAAATTACTCTTTGGAACATAAATGAGCTAGCATTTCTCTTTCACTCCCTCCGTGTACTGTGTACTTGTGTTTCACTACAATTTTAAGACAAACCCTCTACTCCTTTAGAAAACCAGAACCAGAATCAAATAATCAATAACAGAATTTTAAGCAACTGTCTTTACTAACACAGAAAGGGTCTCAATGGGAGACCTGGATAAAAAAAATCAGTGTTGCAAAAGAACCTAAAACTCATTCAGACTCTGGACTCATCACTGGGCTCCCACAGTTTCATCCTATGTTCAAATTGCAAGCATCTCCCAAAAGCTCTGAAAACAAATGAGCAACACAGTAATAGCTAGAAGCATCTCAGGGCAATGACTGCCACAGTCACTATTTGGAAGCAAGCACACAGCACGCAATCTTTACTTCCATAGCTCAGGATGACCCCAGAACACCGCCTGGGTAGACTCTAGCTTTTCTATAATACAACACTCTTTTCTCAACATTTCTTAGAAACAAGATAGGCTGTCCAGAGAGACAAGCAGAAACAGGACATACTTAAGTCTTGAATATTCTCCGCCTGATTAAGCTGCTTCCCAAAGCAACTTCTACCTAATAATTCTCTACAAGAGTAATCAAAAAAAAGGGGGGGGGGCTACTTGCACTATAAGGAAATACCAGAGAAAAAACGACTTTTGCTTTTTTAGGGCCCACTTTCCCTCCTATTACACACACTATTTCATTCTACCAGAGTTCTTACCATAGAGAGGACAGTAAATAAAGATTATCATGAATTTGATCAAATGCTTCAGTGCCTCCTCCCCTGGCCTATGAATGCACTCATTACAAATCAGCTGAATGGCTCATTGATTTGCCAAGAGGACAAGCAGACATACCTAATCGCTCAGCCAAGTGGATGTAGACTGGGTCCACCCGACGCATGGTTTTCACCAGATCCTTTTTTCGGAATTTGATTTCTACAGTCCCTTCTGGCTCCAGAACTGATCCCCTGGATCAGAGAGAAAGAAAACAAAACAGAAATAGAGGCACTTTAAAGGAAAGAAGGCAACAGAATGAGGCCAGTTACAATTTGTGGACCAGGAAATAGCTTCATTATCATTTTGCCCACCCATGGCTCACAGAAATCACCCCAGGGGAAAAAGCAGACACCAGAGAAGTGTCTAAGTGAGGTATGAGAAAGGCCCAGCAAAAAGCAATTAAAATAATTCTCATTACCACACCAGTTGACTTGTATCTCAAAGGGAGAATACAGATTCTACCATCTACAGCTAATAAGGGTGACAAGAGTCACATTATGCTTAGGTGCAGTGGCAGGGGACGCACCACCAGCACTTAGGCTATATTAAGTGAGGGATGAGTGTGGATGGACCCACACCACAGTTGTAAGTTTGCTGAAAGAACCTGGATCAAACACAGAAGGTCAGGCCAAGCTGGAGGTAAGGCATCTGCTCAATGCAATGGAAATGAGCAATGTGAAGGCTTTAGGGTTGCTTCTAGCAAACACTTGAGCTCTAACATCAGAAACCATTCCCTAAAAATTTATTTTTTAATATTAAAAATTACAGTTAATATCTACTATATACATTTTAAAAGGCTTACATATAAGTTCTCCCAAGTTTCAGTGAGGTTTAGAGGTACCAAGAATAGAGGACTTCATGCTTAAAAGAATCTGCGATGGAGGACTATATTGAGGAAGCTTAACTCCAGCAGCTTGATTTTCTTCTTTTAGAGAGCCTATTTTCTAACTTTCAGTTCTTTGGGAATAGATAGATTCAAATGTTCCCTTGTTTATCATGTTCTTTAGGAGGAAAACCACAGTTGTTGAATCCCTAGAGGTAGCCAGTGGAAATCTGGAAAGCATATTACCTGCTTTCTCGGTCTGCATACATCTCCATGTGTCGGGGGTTTATAGTAGGGTCAATCACAACCCAGGAGCCACCTCGGAGCTCAGCCTGGGGAGGAATGTAAACCATCACAGGCTGGGAGCACTCTCGTAAGCTGTCTACGATGTAAGCACCAAACTTGAGCACTTGGTCATACATGTCTACAGAGAATGAGACAAATCAGAAATCATGAAATTCATCTTTTCCAAAGCAGTGATTTCAAACATTGCTCAGGTTATGGGACACAAGGAACGTATTTGTATAGCACACTGTGTTTTCAGTAAGGAGGCTGCTCAGAGCTAGAGGTAGCAGGTCTTAGAGTTCTAGCCACCACAGGTCCTAGGTGGCCACCCCAAAGCCTAATGGGTTTGCTATCTCTACCTGTATTCTACTCCAGAGATCTTCAAAAGCATGAGAGAAAAATGCACTGTCTTCACAAGACACAGTGTGCAAACGGCTGGTTATACATTCATTTTATATCCTCCCTGAATTTCTGTACTAAGGTCTCACCACATTAATTCACACTTGCTCTGCAAACGTTGACTATTTTTCAAGTCAATATGTGATCTTTCCCACTATATTAAGTTTTCTGAAGGAACTATTCTAGCTCTTTCAATTCCTCTCATGATTCTTAGCATGCAAGTTTTTAAAATGTATAGTTAATAAGAATGGATCCTACAAAAATTTTTATCTTTAAGTTGGGTGTGGTGAGACACAACTGTGATCCTAGAATTTAGGAGGCTGAGTCAGGAGGAGGTGTATCAATTTGACTCTAACTTGGTCTCTGTACAGTGGGAGTTCCATGCCAGCCTAAGCTATATAACAACTCTCTTCAGATTTCCAAAAAAACAAATCCAAACTGGATCTTTCATTTTTATATACCCATTGCCTTCCCCAAACCTGGAACAGTTAGTGTTCAGTAAGTACTGGCTGAGTGAGTAAATAAACACACACATTTTTGAAAGAATACAGTAAGAACAAATCAATTCTTAGTTATGTTTTTATAGGATATCAATGAGAATATAAACACATGTGTTCATGCACAAGAAGACAGTTTGTTATACACACACACTAAGAGCAACCTCTTTAGACTGCTAAAAAGCACACTGTGTTATCCTCCTCAAGGCCAGATAAGCCTGAAGAAAAGACTCCTGGTCCATGAATAAAGTAAGTCCTTGGAAAGCCAGATCAGTTTTTTATTTCCCAACTTTATATGGACTACTTCCCTGAAGTCTAAACATTGCTAAACTTTTAGGTTTATGATTCCAGAAGTTTAATGAGTACTTCACTGGAGCTACAATAAGGCCTTTCTAAACACCAAATAACAGGTTCAACTGAGTTCAAACTTTCCTATCAAAGAGAGGATCTCAATTTGGAATAAATCAATTCTGGAAATCCAAGGCAAAGAAGCATTTTTCAGGAAGTTAAGAGCAAAGTAAATAGAAATTGCTTTCATTGTAGTTACTGGCAAATTAAACTGCCACCTTCTCCAAAGTAAAAATGGCTCTATATTCCAACCATCAGGGAGCACAGTTCACTGCAAGGCACATGCCTTTCTCCACTGTCCCAACTTGGTTTGTCTGTACAGACTTCTAAAACTCCAAGCTGCTCCAGGAAGCACCCCTTACTTTATACAGAATGTGTAATGGTCACATGCTCTGAATGTCTGATGAGAGTGAAGACATTTATTCCTTTCAGAAAAAAGCAAGGACCAAAAAAAAAAAAAATTTACTGCTAATTGCACAACTGCTGTATGAAGCAGGGAATAAAGGACTTTAAGGGCTTTACGCTAATTCTGTGGTTATGAAAATAATTGCTCAGTTAAAATTATTTTAACTAAATTAATTCTTTAGTGGATATTTCAGCCAGTGCTACATAATAAAATAATTGTGTAATTAGTGGTACATTTTTCAGTACTGCCAAGGAGTGGCCCCCGTCGATATCATGAACAATCTGGGGTGTAGATAAAAGGTGAAAATACAATGAGAGCAGACAGCACAAAGTCATTCTACTTGAAAAATAGAAAATAAAACTACAGGTCAATGAAGAAAGTTTTCTAGCCTCTCAGTTAATGTCTGCTTGTTAAAAATGTATCAAAATCTATTTCTGTACTATCTTTGTAATAAATTCAACTCCCCAAAGGGAAAAACATTAGTTAAAATATATTTTTCATTTTTGTAAAATGGACTTAGGTTTCTTTTGGTAATGTGGTTAGCTGGTATTGTGTATGAGGAACAATGTCTGCATACATACATTAATTATCAGAATGTCATCTTATTTATATATCCAAGTTGCAAGTAAGTAGGTAGAGGCTTAGCTAAATAAGAATAAGTAACTGGGCACTGGAGATGTCCACCTGTAATTCTAGCTACTCAAGAGGATGAGATCTGGGGACAAAGGTTGGAAGCCAGCCAGAGCCCATGAATCCTTGAGACTCTTAGAGACAATTACCAGCAAAGAGCCAGATGTGGAGGTGTGGCTTAAGTGACAGATCTCCAACCTTGATGAAAAAGCCAAGGAGAGGATGAGGCCTGGAGACCAAGTTCCATTATTAGCACATATACTCAAAAAAGACTAAGTGCTAGGCACCAGTGGCTCACACCTGTAATCCTACTCAGGAGGCTGAGATCTGAGGATCACAGTTCAAAGCCAGAATGGGCAGGAAAGTCTGTGAGACTATCTTCAATAAACCACTCAGAAACCTGGAAGTAGTGCTGTGGCTCAAGTGGTAGAGTGCTAGCTTTGAGCTGAAGGACAGCTCCCAGGCCCAGAGTTCAAGCCCCACGACCAACAACAACACCAAAAAAAAAGATTGAGTAACAAAGATAAGACTCAGGTGGGTTGTGGGTCTTGAACTCTGGGCTTGGACGCTGTCCTTCAGTTTTTTTTTTTTTTCTTTTTTGGTCATGGGGATTGAACTCTGGGCCTGGGTGTATCCCTCAGCTCTTCAGCTCAAGGTTAGCACTCTACCACTTGAGCCACAGTGCCCACTTCCGTCTTATTTTTTGTTTATGTGGTGCTGAGGAATCGAACCCAGAGCCTCATGCATGCCAGGCAAGCACTCTACCACTGAGCCACCTTCCCAGCCCCTGTCCTTCAGCTCTTTAGCTCAAGGCTAGCACTCTACCACTTGAGTCTCAGTGCCACTTCTGGTTTTCTGATGAGTCTCATGAACTTTCCTGCCCGGGCTGGCTTTGAACCACAATCCTCAGATCTCAGTCTACTGAGTAGCTAGGATTATAGGCGTGAGCCATTAGTGCCTGGACAAAGATCCCTTTTTTAAAAAAAATTGAGGGGGGCGTCTTGCTAGGTATCCCAGGTTAGCCTGGGATATTCCTGCTTTTTGACTCCTGATATCTGGGATTACAGGCATATACCACCATACCTGGCTTCAAACTCAGATCGTTTTTTGGCTCTGAAGTCCATCCATATTCCTTAAAATCCATGCCTTATTTTTATTCATCATTCCTATTGCTACTAAAGAGAGCATGAAGCTGGGGGTTATCTACTTTTACTAGATCTAATGCAATGGCTGACGAAAATGAAACCAGAAAAAGAGACTTGCCTAAATGATACAACACTTCTAAAGACTGTACTGATGACACTAGTAATAATGTGAAGATCTTAGTTATAGATGCCAAAGAAATATCTTTAGGCCCTAAGACTGCAAGCTAGAATGGTTTCATTAAAGCTGACATTCTTTTTTTTTTTTGCTGGTCGTGGGATCTGAACTCTGGGCCTGGGCGCTGTCCCTCAGCTCTTCAGCTCAAGGCTAGTGCTCTACCACTTGAGCCACAATGCCACTTCTGGCTTTTTTTCTGCTTATGTGGTGCTGAGGAATCGAACCCAGAGCTTCATGCATGCAACGTACACACTCTACCATTGAGCCACCTTCCCAACCCCTAAAGCTGATGTTCTTAGAATGTCTTAAACACTAACACACCAGCAATCCAATGATCAAAACACACAAAAAAGCAGGCTATTAAAATATAAACAAACACAAAAACAAATTCTACAATCACCATGCTCAAAGTGAATCACAATTACTCCAAACCACCTATTTTGAAAGGCAAGTTGGAATACTTGGCAACTATCTGACATACAACTGTCTGAAATCCCTTCATATTTAAGAGAGAGAAAAAGCGAGAAAATACAACCATCATAGTATATGAGGGAAGAGCCTCAGGAGTTTATGCCAAAGTTAGTCCAGGGAATTTTAAGGCTGTGCATATACTGTCAATTCTTAGGCCCAGAGAAATGCAACTGTAAGTGGACAATACTCATTGCTTCTTTCTTCACTGGAGAGGCAGAAACTTCATTTCTGAACATTCTGGGTAAAGTACACCTGCATGAATGGTGATCACACACAGCCTCTGAAGCATGTTCTCAGCAACCAGGCATTAACTCTGCCTAGGGCTTTCATTGTTATACAACATGGTTAAATCCTGGCAACCACATGTACCAAATAAGGAAGTAGGGTGGCTGAGAGTGTTTTCCACAGTGCCTCATACTCTTAACACTGGAATAGATTTTATTGGTTTGAGCAAGATGATCTGTTAGAAACTAAGGTAAACATTAGGCACACACAAACTGCATATATACATTATGTCTCTCATGGGTTCATTATGGCCAGTGGACACTCTATTTTAGCACCCAAGTAATCAGAGACTTTAAAATAGACTTTCGTTTCAGTTAAAGTTTTCAATAAGTGTGTTTTTTTTATTGTTATTTATAACCTGTCCCAGGAACAAAATAATAAGTATAACATGAAAAGCCAACTGAGAGTGACCCTGTAGCTCCAGCAGTGAGGCGGCTTAATATCACTGGGATTTGCATCCTATCAAGCTATTCATGCTGAGGCTGGGACCCTGGTGCTAATTTCTAGTAAATTTCACGCTTGATGTCTCCCTGTTGTGGGTCATTGCCGGTTCGTCTAAATAAACTGCTTCCAAATGGCTCTTCCATCTAAATATTCAGCCAGTTTTTATAATTTAATTTTGCATTATGCTGAATAGCCTTCCGGCCAGATAGAGCTCATTGGAAAAAAAGCACCAATACCATCTTGACAAGCTTTTATTTATTTATTTATATTTTTACTGCTCGAATTAGACCTCCTAGGCCGACTAGTAAAGAGTTTTTTTTTTTTTCCTCCACTAATGTCAATTTTCAGCATAGCAAGAGCTGTCTCTAATCTTTTCCTACTCATTACACACAATTTTGGAGTCATTTTACCCACAGTGCAGTCGGCTCCTGGCTGTGTGTTTGTGTGCACTGAGGGATGGCATAATTGTTTATTTTCCCTCCCTGCATAATCCCCAGCCAGTATTGAAACCAAAACTGCAAACATCTCCCCAAGGGATGTGGAGAATGACAAGAGGCTCTCAGTTTAGGTCCCTTTACGTGAGATAATATGCAGGAAACATCCTGACCTGTATGTAAATATGAAAGACACCATTCCCCCCTTCTTACTTTCACACAATCTCTGTCTTCTCTAAAGTTTGTCTTATGTTGTATGTAAATGGACACATGAGCACCAAAATTCAAAAGAAAAGCTCACCCAGGCCAACCATGCCATTCTGATGAGATAGGAAAGAACAGGTAGTCACTGTTTAATGAGTACTGAGTTTAAGTTAGGGATGATGAAAAAGTCACACAACACTGTGACTATATTTAAAGCCACTGAATTGTACACTTACACATGGTTAAGATATATTTTACCACAATAAAAAAAAATTGAACATTTCCTTCTTCCTTTCTTTTCTTGGAGATAAAGTTTCTCCATGTAGCACAGGGTGGCTTTGAACTTGCTATATAGTCCAGGCTGGAAAATAACATTTCTGGGCTATAAAAATTTCTTTTTGGGTTTTATTTATTTATTTTTGTTGGTTGGTGGTTTGTGGGTTGAAATCTGGGCCTGCGCGCTGTCCCTGCGCTCTTCAGCTCAAGGCGAGCACTCTACCGCTTGAGCCACATCACCACTTACTATAAAAATTTCTTTTCCCAATAACCATGGCCATCTTTCTAAAGGAGGAGAGCACAGAAACATTAATATGTCATTCCAGGGATGTTGTAGTTGATCCTGTTCTGGCTCTCTCTCTCTTTTTTTTGTTGGTCGTGGGGCCTGAACTCAGGGTCTGGGCACAGTCCCTGAGCTTCTTTTGCTCAAGGCTAGCACTCTACCAGTTGAGCTACAGTGCTACTTCCTGTTCTAGCTCTTCTAATCAGGAGTTGGATAGGTCTACAATCTTCTCTCTTATTTGTAACCTGAATCATCTTGGGAATTTTACTTACTTCAAGCCTTAATCCATGGCAAATGAAATATAAGCTAGACTTTAGTGGTCCTATTTATAGTGTTGACTATGTAAGATAATGTAAAGTGGTTAGCATTTCTTAATGAAATTCAATTGTTGTTTTTAAGGTTATAGGCTAGCAATGAGCTGGGTCCCAGCCAAAATAAGCAGAGTTCAAGATTTTACTAGAAGTGGCAACTCTGGGACCTTTGAACTCTTCAACTCTAGGAGGTTAGGATAGCCAGGATGACTTCCTCCCCTGGGTGTCAAAAAGTGCCTAAGACCAGTAACAAGTAACAGCACAGTTAGAGCTTCATCATTCTGCCCAAGACATTTTTCTTAACTCCTTGAGGCCCTGTCTGTTTGCTGACTTATTTTATTTCTTCTTAGTTTAGTTCCTTATACATAGGATCTTAGTAAAACTGTGTAGGACTGATTTGTTTAACCCGTACTGTCAATTTCTCGTGTTATTTCTATTGATTATTTTGGTTAAAAAGGAATTCACTTTCAAGCAAGGTATGTTGGTATATGCCAATTATCCTCACATTTGGGAGCCTGAGGCAGGAGGATCTTAAGTTAAAGGCTAATAGCCTGGTCTACCTAGTGAGACTCTTGTATTTAAAAAAAAAAAAACAAAAAACCACCTCAGGGGCTGGGAAGGTGGCTCAGTGATAGAATGCTTGCCTTGCATGCATGAGGCCCTGGGTTCGATTCCTCAGCACCACATAAGCAGAAAAATCTGGAAGTGGTGCTATGGCTCAAGTGGTAGAGTGCTAGCCTTGAGCTGAAGAGCTAAGGGACAGCGCCCAGGCCCAGAATTCAGGCCCCATGTCTGACCAAACAAACAAGCAAACAAAAAAATCTCACCTTCACGGTTTAAAAAAGTACATAAACATTAAGCTGAATGTATAGTTTACATATTCCCCAAGAAAAATGCAAGACACAGTACTGCTCTAGCAAAGGGTAAATTTTCAACCAACCCCAACCCCACCATCTCCCCACCCCACTGCAATCAATATGGTCTACATTTTGCTAGGGAGGCCTGGCCATATAGTGCTCTTCTAGCCAGGTAAGAAACATTGGCAAAATTGTTGAATACTTCTCATCATAAATAAAAGGGAGTTTCCCCAAGGTTTTCCTCCTCAGAAGAAAGGGGTGGTCTTATGCTATTACTATGTTCCCTATTAAGTGTTCATTGCTTCATACTGGATACTATCGAATTACTCGCCATAGCAGCTTCTCCTTTTTTTTTGGGTTGGTCATAGGGCCTTAACTCTGGGCCTGGACGCTGTCCCTCAGCTCTTCAGCTCAACGCTAGCGCTCTATCACTTGAGCCACAGTGCCACTTTCAGCTTTTTCTGCTTATATGGTGCTGAGGAATCGAACCCAGGGCCTAATGAATGTGAGGCAAGCATTCTACCACTGAGCTACCTTCCTAGCCCCGGCTTCTCCTTCTGTTCTATCCTGTCTACTACCTTAGAACCCTGAAGTGAATGAGGTTTGCACAATCAACAAAGTCTCAGCCTCCAAGTGCATAGTATCTGTCTTTTGCACAATTGTGGGGTTCTGTCATTGGAGCAAGGGCCCTGCGACTGTAAGAACTGGAATATGTTTCCTTTGGCTCTCTGTGGACTGTTGACAGGGGGCTCTGCTCATGGAGGATTCTTGGTTAATGATGACATTGGCTGCCTAATCACTAAGCCATTCCCATAGCATGGAGTAGAGTTTTTATAATAATGGTCTAATCTGCTAGAGCCACAGGCTCAGGACTGTTGGTGGATAGTAATGAAATATATTACAAATTGCCACAAAGAACAGCCTCTGGTATAGAATCTGTTTCATTTTCTTTAGTTAGTGTTAATATTAGAATCTATCTTCATCATTATAGAATATTAGAGAGTAACGTGAATGAAGGAAATGTCCAGAAAGAGGGACAGAGACAAGTACATCATATTTCCCAGTTCCACCAGAATAACTTAACATCCACCTGTGAAAATTAAAACAACAGTAGCCCACCTAGATAATATTAGATTATTCTGTGATATTCTATGAAATTATAAAACATACCATATTTTTTCATTTGAGATGCAACTCAAAAGACATCTCACAGGATAAATAATTCTGGGATGATGAGCTGTCAGAATAGCCACAGGCCATGCAGAATGTGTATCTTACCTCCTGTCCTCTCTTACTCAGTAACTAGTAATGCCCTTCCCACCCACAGCCAGCCCAATCACCTTTCATCCCTCCAGAAAAGCCTCTCCAGTTGGCAAAGACCATCAGGGGTAGCCCTTCACGGTTGAAGTCCTTGATAGCCTGATAGGTCTTAAATGCAGAGTCTGGGAACCAAACTTGGCCAGCCTGCTGGATTATCTAGTAGGGAAAATCAAAGAAGTGCTAGTTAACAATACTGAAAGAGAACTTTGAAGGCAAACTCTATGAAGTGAAGAAGGCTTTATTAAGAATTGGCAAATTGGGGCTGGGAAGGTGGCTCAGTGGTAGAGCGCTTGCCTTGCATGCCTGAGGCCCTGGGTTCGATTCCTCAGCACCACATAAGCAAAAAGAAAAAAGCCGGAAGTGGCATTGTAGCTCAAGTGGTAGAGCACTAGCCTTGAGCTGAAGAGCTGAGGGACAGCGCCCAAGCCCAGAGTTCAGGCCCCACGACTGGACCCCCCCCAAAAAAAAAAAGAATTGGCAAATTTCAGAAGTGGCACTGTGGCTCAAGTGGTAGAGCGCTAGCCTTGAGCCTTGAGCTGAAGGATAGCGCTCAAGCCCAGAGTTCAAGCCCCACAACTGAAAAAAAAAAAAAAAAAAAAAGAATTGGCAAATTTAGCCAGGCGACGGTAGCTTATGCCTGTAATCCTAACTACTCAGGAGGCTTCAAAACCAGTTTGGGCAGGAAAGTTCATGAGACTCTTATCTTCAATTAACTACCAAAAAAGCTGGAAGTGGACCTGTGGCTCAAGTAGTAGCATTAGCCTTGAGCACAAAAAAATACAGGGATAGAACCTAGGCCCCAGGACTGGTACGCACATGCGTGTGCACACGTACATGCACATACACAAAACAAACAAAAGCTATTATTCATCAAGAGTATCATCTTTGAAATAAAAAATAACAGAGCACTTGAAATTTTTGACCTTGTTAAATATCCTTCTTTTTGAGTCCTGATACACCACTAATTCCTAGGAATTCTCATTCAGCTTTTCAAAGGCAACTTTAAATGGCCCAATTATACTACTCTGCAAAACAAGCCAATTATATAGACTTCAAGGCTTTCCACCTCTCTGCTTACTCAGCCTTTTTTGTATTGTGCTTAGTCAAGACACGTGATGTAGGGCTGGGAAGGTGGCTGAGTGTTAAGAGTGCTTGCCTCACATGCATGAGGCCCTGGGTTCAATTCCTCAGCACTACATATACAGAAAAAGCTGGAAGTGGGCGCTATGGCTCAAGTGGTAGAGTGCTAGCATTGAGCTGAAGAGCTGAGGGACAGTGCCCAGGCCCAGAGTTCAAGCTCTACAACCGACAAAAAAAAAAAAAAAAAAAGACACGTGATGTGACACTGTTGAAAAGTCTCCTCTCTGGTCTCCCTACTGGCTACTGTTATGATAGATGTCAAGATGTAAATGTAATCCACCTATAAAAAAAACATGGGCTGTGCTGTCCATGTCTTGCATTTGGTAGAAGGAATTTTGTCTTTAGTGCTTTCGTGGTATGCTAGGAGACTGACAAGCTGTAGCATTATCTTAGTGTGCTCTCTCTCTTCTCTCCCTCTCCCCCTTTCCTCCCCCAACCTAATTTCTTCCTTCCTACCTACCTACCTATCTACGTACTTACCTTCTTTGGCCAGTTCTAGGACTTGAACTCAGGGCCTGGGCCCTGTCCCTGAGTTGAGACACAACTCAAAATGTATCTCACAGTTGTTGTTTTTTAATTTAATCTTTTTTTTTTTTTGTCAGTCATGGGGCTTGAACTCTGGGCCTGAGTGTTGTCCCTCAGCTCTTCAGCTCAAGGGGAACGCTCTACTACTTGAGTGACAGCGTTACTTGAAGATAAAGAGTTTCACAGCCTTTCCTGCCCTGGCGGGCTTTGAATGTGATCCTCAGATCTCAGCCTCCTGAGTAGCTAGGATTACAGACGTGAGCTACCAGTGCCCAGCTCACACAGCTTTTTTGATCAAAGCTAGTGCTTTACTTTTTTTTTTGGTCGGTTGTGGAGGCTGAACTCTGGGCCTAGGCCTGTCCCTCAGCTCTTCAGCTCAACACTAGTACCCTACCACTTGAGCTACAGTGCTACTTCCAGATTTTTTCTGCTTATGTGGTGCTGAGGAATCGAACCCAGGGCTTCATAAATGTGAGGCAACAGTCTACCTCTGAGCCAACTTCCCAGCCTGTGTTCTACCTCTTAAGCCATAGTTCCAGCTCCAGCTTTTTGGTGATTAATTAGAGATAAGAGTCTCATGGACTTTTATGCCTGGGCTGGCTTTAAACAATGATCCTCAGTTCGTAGTATCCAGAGTACTTAGGATTATAGGCATGTGTCACCTGTTCAGCAGTTATTCCCCAGCAAAACCAGTCTGGTCTCCAGCATCTCCAAAACTACTGGTAAAGGCATATTGTTTTTCAGGTAGAACTAAGCTTACAGTCTACCTAGAGTAATCTTCACTCTAAAATTTGGTGGTTTGCAATGCTCCCAGTATATCCATAGGCACTGTAGAAGGAAAACAAGCTTGAAGCATGAAGAAGCCCCAAGCACCATGTACTTGAGGTGACCTACCTTGGCTTCAGAATCCAGGTTTGCAGGATCGGCTGGGATACTCAGTTCTACTGTACGTGTTTCTACAGCAACTACTCCTACAGGTATTCCTCCTAGCCTGATTAAAAAAAAAAAAAACACATAAGAACCCACTGCATGTTCAGATTATAGCTGGTCATTCATTTCATTTCCCAATCCCACATCGACACTGGGGGTAAAACTAAAGCAAGCACAGCAGCAGGGGAGACAAATTCTTCTAAGAGTTAAATGTGACTTTGTGGAGTTAGTATTTATTCTATAAATATGGTAGAAAACCATCCTCAGAATCACTCCAGTACAACTTAGGGTTGTACTAGAGAAGCCTCTACAGTGAGACTCAGTGGTCTATGCACATCTTATCAAACAAAATCTCTGAGCTAATTTTTTACTATCTCTTGGTAAAGATGATGAGAAATAGTATAAAAGGTATTAGAAGCCTGAAACTCAGGAACTTTTCATGAGTGCTAGCCTGGTGGAAACAGCTGTGGTTTTCTTTTTAATTTTAATTTTATTGTCAAGGTGATGTACATTATACCCTTCCCCCTCTACACTCTCCCCCCAAGTTGTATAGATCATTTCCAACATATTGTCTTGTGAGTATCACTGTTGCATTGTTTCCCTCTTTGTCTTTTGTCTCACCATTTTTTTGTTCCCCTTCCCTAATTCAAATAAACGTATATACAATACTCAGGGTACCAAAATCAAATACCGTGACAACAGGAAATAAACCATAGTGAGAACAAAACAAAAGAAAAAACTAATCATATAGTACATTAAAACAACAACAACAACAAAGAAAAACTTTTTGTGTCCATGTCTTGGGAGTTCATTTCACTTAACACCATATTATATGTCATACATACATGGCTATTGAGCTATTCTGTTCATCTGCTAAGATTATCCTAAACATATACTATTCATTACAAATAATGGAAACCATGGGACTTATGTTTCTTTGGATCTGGCTTACTTCACCTAATATGATTTTTTCCAAGTCCTTCCATTTCCTTACAAATGTGTGGTGTCATTCTTTCTGATGGAAGCACAGAATTCCATTGTGTATATATACCACATTTTCTTGATCCATTCATCTATTGGGGGGCATCTGGGTTGGTTCCATATCTTAGGTATGTTACAGCTGTGGTTTTCTATGGAATATCAATAATGTGGTTCTAAGGCTGGAGCATGGCTCAGCAGTAAGAGTGCCTGCCTAGCAAGTGTGAGGTTCTGAGTTCAGACTATAATACCATTTTTAAAAAGTGGATCCAGGGATTTGAAGGTATAATAGGTCTTACCAATGGGTAGGTAAGTATATAGATGTATATCATGATAATGATGAAAAATACATGTCAAGAGTAGGTAAGTGATTAAATAAGCCCTTAACTTTCTTTTTCAGTGGAAAGGAATAATCAATAATAATCTTGGTGAAATCTATATCAGAAATATATATTAAACTTTGGCCAGGTACAATGGCTTTTGTCTGTAACCTCCACTAATAGGTGGGTAGAGATAATGAAGATTGCGCTTAAAGGCCAAACTGGGCAAAATAGTAAGACCTCCATCTCAACAAAACAAGCTGGCCATTAGGATATATGCCTATTGTCCTACTACATAGCTAGATAAGACTATGGTTTAAGGCCATTCCTGAAACCTTATCTGAAAAAAACTAAAGCAAAAGGGGCTGAGGATATGGCTTGCATGGGGAAGCACCTTCCCATAGGAGTTAACTGAAAGGCCTGACTTTAAACTCTAATATTGCCCACTCCCCCCAGCCCCCGCCAAAAGTACATACTTAATTTCCAAACTATGTTATTTACCCAGGAAAACTCAGAAAGTAAGGAGGAAAGGTGGGATGTGAGAAGAGGATAAGGACAGGGAGAGAGACAGAGGCACAAAGTATAGGATGAGTCCTTTCTCTAGAAAATGTGATCAATATTCATTCTCAGTTGCATTCCTTGGGGTTGGGATGGATTATAGTCTCTCATTCCCTACAGCATCTGCATAACAAACTTCCCCATGAAGGATGGTCTTTGGTTACATTCCAGTTGCCATTACACTGGCCACTGGAAATGGATTCTTGTCATCACAAGAGGCCTAACGGGGGGTGAGTGGAGACCACCCACCCCCTTGTCACTTGCCCGCACTGAATTAGAATCAAAAGCCCTCTAGACAACCAGACAACGAGCAGTAGGTACACAGGAGAGTTTAGAAATATTTCTGTTCACAATGATTAATAATCCAACTGGAAACTTGTAATTGCAAAAGCCACCCTAAATCGGTAACTTATAACTTATATATTAGGGCCCATGTGACCTAATAAAGAACATCTTTATCCTAGTATTACAGTTATTTATTGAACTTGAAAACAGCTCAGAACAACTTCTGTTTTCTATTATACTTCATATAAATTTTATCAGGCTAGCACATGAAGATGCTACATCTTGTTTTATAGTGTGTCCCTGGACAAGGTGCCATGGAATAATAAAAGACAATTTACAGCCAATAGCACACATATTCCAAACATACATACCAAAGATGAGTTTTGGCAGCACTTACAGTAACAATCCCAGAAGAATACATTTATATTTATTTCTTGAAATGCCATTGCTTTGAAAGAAGCTAGCTCCATTTCTGTTTTATATACTTGTGAGCATGTGTATGTGTTTGGAGTGAGAACTCCAGAACTCATCAGATGGAAAGAAAGGAAGTCAGAGTGAGTATCAGAATAAACAATGGCAGAGCTAAGCAAAGCCAAGCTTTACTGACGTAGGTTGCAGAGCAATCCCTATTCTTCCAATTGTAATTGTAAAGCGTCGTTTTTATTTATTTTTTTATTTCCCAAGGGATGATCTTAAAGACCCTAAAAAGAGGTTTAGCTTTGTAAGCTTAAAGTCTGTCATGTTTATAGACTGGAAAACTGAAGTAGAATATATAAGAGCCAAATTTTCAAAAGAAAAGTTGGTCCTGGTGTGATATGAGGAATGCGTAAGGAGCAGTAAGTTCTGGGTGGAAGGGCACTAGCTCTGGTGCATGTCCCACTTTCACCTCCCCAGTGAGAATGTTACTGGCACAAAGAATGATTCTCACTGGGACCTAAAGCCTGGGGTGAGGTAAAAGATCTAAGATTCCGGAGAAATGAGCTGCTAGTTTTTGAGATTTTTTTTTGTCTGAGCTGACTTGAGGCCCGACTCCTATTTAGAGTCACAGTGGATAACTCTGTCTGTGGGATCTGCCATCTGATGGTTCCTTGTCACTGGCAGCATGAGGCATGCTGACCTGCTGCACTGAGAGAACCACAAAGCCTAGAATTATTTTCAAGGCTAGAATCTAAATCTCAAGCCAATGTGGCATGTTGGAGAATCTTGAGCAGGTGCCTTTTTTCGCCAAGATAAGGAAAACTGATTGCCCCCGGGAGGAAGGTGAGCCCCCTGATGCGGGTCCCTTGGGCAGCATGTCTGTAGCACAGAACTAGATTAAGATCAGCCTTGGCAGGTGCTCGTTATAGTGAGCACTGCAGATTATTTCGTGCAGAGCTTGCTGTTGAGTGAAGCACTTCTTAGAGTGGGTATTAAAATTTAATAGAAACTTCAATTTCTCACTTGAAAAATATAGGTATCCCAGCAACCGATTCCTGCCTATTTTATTTACTCCTGTTTCAGGTAAACTTTTTTTTTTTTTTTTGGCAATTCAAATCTTAATCTAATCCAATGCCGTGCAAAAGATACTTAAAGAATCTGGATGCCAGGAAGGAACTCTCAGGGTACATAGAAACACATGTGAGTCTCTCTGTAATTTACTCACAGCATGCTTCTGAAAGAAAGTGGTCTTTGTGGGAGGGGAAGTTGCTGATGGACCATGGCTACTTCAGGTTATCTTTGCAGATCCTAAAAAGCTTTTCTTGGACCAATTTTGTATGAGTTTTATTTATTTACCCTTTTTTTTTTTTTTGGTGTTACATGGGGTTCGAACTCAGGGCCTCACACTTGCTCAGCAGTGTTCTATCATTTGAGCTATGCCCCTAGACATTTTTGCTTTGTTTTGAGAGTCAAGGTCAACTTCAGACTAAGATCCTCCTATTTATGTCTCACCAGATTACTGTCATTACTTGCATACCTAGTCTGTTTAGATGAGAACTTTCTGCCTAGGCTGTGAGCCTGCCATTCTCTACATCCAAGAAGCTAGGATTATAGGTATACATTCCTTTCCCACACAATTTTATAAAGCAAATAATGCCCAAATCAGCCTTCAGATTAAATGCATCATTGGAATCCTATACTAAATGACTACTGAGAGCCACACTTTAGTTAGGCTGCCTTGTGAATATCTATAATCAGTATTTGTGCAAAATTTAGACAAAATACATTACTGGGTAAAATAAAATCTATGTAGTCATAGTTCTTTCCTTTATTACTGTTACTTGGCAGGAAAAAGAACTTCCAAACAAAAGAGCTCTTACCTGGCTCTACCAACCACCACAGTCTGTGCCCAGGGCTGCATAATCTCTGAGAAAGATCCATAGTCAAAAAATCCACTCAACCACTGACCTTTCTGGGCTATAGAAGGAAGAAAGGAAACAAAGAGTAAAGATAAGTCGATTCATTGATAATGCACTGAAACTGATGAATTTAAGGTAGGTTTTGGGGGATTACTTTGGGGAGTTTGTTGTTTTTAACCATATTATAAAACATGAAAAGCATTAAGCAGCTGAATGTTCATGTGCCTCCAGCCATCATATCCGATTTCATTTGTTAGTCTGCATAAAAAGACTCATTTATCAGCAAAAGCATCATTTATTGTTAAACGATGGGGTTCCGCTAGCTAGAGAAGAGTTTGAATGTTTTTAAATAAATAACTTGTTTTTCTTTTCAAGTCATCACAAACATTTGTCAAAAGGCAGCCAAATCATTAAAGATGCTTTTAACACATCTACTTATATTTTAAAATTTGCCTAATAATTTTCATTCCAATGATTTTCATGGAAAGATGAAACCAGCCAAACAATAATTTTAATGTTCAGATAAAGAGCCAAATTTGGGGGAAAGAAAAGACTCTGTTTCTTTGCTAGAACAGCAACAAGACAGATCAACTTTATTTATAGCTGACAAAATATAATCTTTCTTCAAGAAGACAGACATGACCATACATTTCCTTCACAGGGCAAAAATGTGGTTCATATGCACACAGTTACTCTATTAGCTTCCCTTGCACATGTAACTTCAACATTCTAGTTTAAGACAAACTTTTGTTCCACAGGTATGAATGTTTGACCAAGTGCCCATAAAGGCTTCTGCAAATAACTGTTTGCTCATTTGCCCTCTCAGCTCAGTTTCTCAGTGATTCTTCTAATTTGAACATAGCCCTCTACCCTCTAAAAACCCAAGTCCAAAACCAATTAAAAGTGGAGATCCAAGCAAGCTAACCTCTGCTGACTTAAACAGGATGGAGAGTGTTTTATCAAGACTAAAGTTGTAATTACTGTGTTCTACATTCCTTGCCTCTATGGCCCCGGTGTAAAATGTGATCATCCATTTCAAAATTATCTCTCTATCGTGAGCCCAAAGCTGATCGTTTAGATTCTGGTCTCGTGTTGGGCGTCAGTTTGAAGAATATCACAGCACTATCTCCTCTAATAAATGACTTTAACTTTTCACCTAGAAGATATCTGCTTTAACTTATCACAGGGAATCATCTGCTTTCTTTAACGCTTCCACTAAATTAAAATCTGAAGTCACTCGATTTGGGAGCGAGTGTTAGCAGCACATAGACAGCAGGATGAATTACTAGGAAGTCAATGAAAAAAATATTATCCAAAACCCCCCAGAAAACTTAGTTTATCACAAATTTAATTTCATTTTGTGGATTTCATTAATAACAGACAGGATAATGCCCACCTATACATATGCACCCCATATCAGAAGAGGGACAATCTTTTTTTTTTTTTGAGAAGTTTTGTGCAGCCCAGATTGGCCTTGAACTCAAGATTCTCTTTTCTTAGCTTTTTGAGACTATGATTACAGGAATGTATCACCATGCCTGGCAGGAAGCTTAGTTTTGTTTTTGTTTTTTGTCAGTCATGTGACTTGCACTCAGGGTTTGGATGCTGTCCTTGGGCTCTTTTGCTCAAGACTAGTGCTCTACCACTTTGAGCCACAGCTCTATCTCTGGTTTCTGGTGATTAATTGGAGGTAAAAATTTCACCAACTTTCCTGCTGGTTGCCTTTGAACCACAATACTCAGATCTCAGTCTCCTGAGTATCTAGGATTACAGGTATGAGCTACCAGTTTCAAGCTGAGGAGCTGAGATTTTGATGAAGTAGTAAACCAAATTTCTAGGTACATCAGGATATTGAAATCTTAATTTTATATGCTTGGATCATTGAATTATAGAATTAATTTTAAAATAGAAATGTTTAGAAACATTAGGGGAAAGGGAGCCAATGGTTAATGTGGTTGGGCTTCACAGTCCCCAGAGGGAAGACCATTCTTATTTCAGACATGAAATTTAGAAGCCTGCTAAGGTGGTTCCTTCACATTTCCCAGAGAAATGCTTACTTAAACCTGAATTCCAGAACAGGTCTTTTCTCATTATCATAATCACACGTAAAAATAAGAGGTAGGAAGAACACTACTATGATGTAGTTAGTCATAAGAAGTCCTAGCCAGGTGCTGGTGACTCATGCCTATAATCCTAGTTACTCAGGAGGCTGAGACATAAGGATTGTAGTTTGAAGCCAGCCCATGTAGGAAAGTCCATGAAACTCTTTTTGTCTGTCTGTTATGGGGCCTGAACTCAGGGCCTGGATGCTGCCTCTGAACTCTTTCGCTCAAGGCTAACACTCTACCACTTTGAGCCACAGTGCCCCTTAGAGTTTTCTGGTAGCTAATTGGAGATGAGTCTCACAGACTTTCCTGCCTGGGCAGGCTTTGAACCTCAGATCTCAGCCTCCTGAGTAGCTAGGATTATAGGCAAACTACTCAGAAAAAGCAGAAAGTGGCCCTGTGGCTCAAGTGGTAAAGTGCTAGCCTTGAGCAAAATAAGCTTAGGGACAGCATGATGCTGGTAGCTGATGCCTGTAATTCTAGCAACTCAGGAGGCTGACATCTGGGGATCACAGTTTAAAGTCAGCCTGGGCAGCAAAGTCCAATAAACTACTCATAAAAGGCCAAAAGTGGCACTGTGGTATGGTAGTGTTAGCCTTGAGCACAAAGAGGCTCTGTGACAATGCCCAGGCCCTGAATTGAAGCCCCAGAACTGAAAGGAAAAAAAAAAAAGAAGGAGGAGAAATAGCAGCAGCTCAAAGACAGCATCCAGGCCCAAGGTATAAGTCCCAGGAATGGCATATGCGTGAGTGTGCGTGCGCGCGCGCGCACACACACACACACACACACTCTCTCTCTCTCCCCCAGATGTAAAGTAACAGATGCGTGATCTTACATAAATCTCAAATTCTTTGAGCTTGTAGAATGGTGCTTTATCTCTGAAGGTAGTAAGCTCAAATAAGCTCATATATGGAAATGCTTTTTATTTGACCCAGATTCAAGCTAGTATCCAGGAAGATTTATTAAGTGTTCCTATGAAGTCTTATGTTTTGTTTTTGAGGGTTCTCCCCCCAGCAAAATCACAATCACTATTAAGTATAATAAAAAGTCTTCATTTTTCTTTTTATATATAGCTGTTCTTTGAATAACTGCAATAAATATGCAAAATAAATATGCAAAAAACAACAAAACTTGAGAATGTGATTTAAAATATAACAAAGGCCAGGTGTGGTGGCCACATGTCTTTAATCTCAGCTCTTGGGAGGCTGAGGCAGGAGGATTGTGAGTTCTAGATCAGCTTGGCCTACACAGCAATATCTTAAAATGAAGTATATTAAAAGCACCTGAGAGATTTGGGTCTTAAAATAATCTCCTGAGAAGAGAGGTTTGCTAGAACAGCCAAATGGACTGACAAATGAGAATAGCAATATTATTGCCAGTACCACAGAAAGGCCTGGGTGGGTAGGTGCTCAGAAATAGCTTGCAGAGAAAAATGTAGTCACATTCTGTTATGGCTTTGAATTCTAACATACACAAACATCAAAAAAAAAATCCTCAGAGTCCATGATTTTACAGCTCATATTTTAATGGTTTGAAAGTCTTTGAGCTGGAGGTGGTGTTGTGGCTCAAGCGGTAGAGTGCTCGCCTTGAGCTGAAGAGCACAGTGCCCAAGCCAAGTTCAAGCCCCACGAGCGACCAAAAAAAACAAAACAAAACTAAAGTCTTTGAGCTTACTGAATAGTAAGTGCTTTAATAACAAAAGGAATAAATCACAACTATACTGGCTATGATTCAATGGGTTACTTATAAATCTCTTATGTTTCATTTGTTCATGAAGGATTTTCCATCCTTTTCTTCATAATGCTGTTTTTAGACCATCCTTGTTTCTAAGAATCTGATTTCTTACATACTTTTGTATGAGAATTGGACAGTGCTGGAAAGAAGACTAAAAACTTGATAAGCAAGGTATCCAGGGACCTTTAAACATATACATACTTGGGTGAGGCCGGCCTGCCAGCATCCATCGGGGATCATATGGGGCTTTTGTGGGAACAAACTCGATGATTCTATCAATAGGGTCCTTGGAGTTCAGGAGAGGAACTGAACTATGAACATTCTAAAGAAAGATTGGGGCGGGGTGGGGGGGCGGGGGCGGGAACAAGAGAGAGCACAATGATCAGTGAACATTAGTGTTAATGCTTCAACTCAGGGACAACAGAAAAAAACAACAAGGCCCACATATAGAATTATACCTACTGGTCTTGATTATCAACCAGAAGCATCCCAGTTACATGCTAAGTTCTGAGGAACATGCAGGAGTCTCAAGTCTTTTAGGATGTTGGCATAAATTAGTGCATTTTGACTATGATTCACTGTGCCCCTGCTTTTTAGGAAGCTCCCTAGAGGACAGACTGTGGTTACTAGGAAGCCTTACTATGCTGGGATCTGAGCCTAGACAGGCCATGAGTGTCTGTGACTGAAAAACACTAGAAAGGAACATAATGAAATTCAAAACATTTTAGGTAGAAAATAGCTTTAAGGGGCTGGGAAGGGGGCTCAGTGGTAGAGTGCTTGCCTTGCATGCATGAGGCCCTGGGTTCGATTCCTCAGCACCACATAAGCAGAAAAAGCC